GCTACATACCTACTCTGTGTTATTCTCCAAACCATTTTAGCATAGCTTATCTAATACAGACTCTTGAGAAACCAATGTCTATATTCTATTTCAAGACACCCCTTTATGTCTGTTTTTAATGCTTTCTCCGATGGGAACGTAAATTGTAGTCTGAGTCACTAGTGTTTAATCAAGAAGTGATATCTAAGAGGGGGTGTCTGTTTCCTAACCCCATCATTCCTCAGTTTTCCCTCCATTCTACTTGGTCCTCTTAGCAGCAGTGAGTGCTTTGGAATTTTCTTCAATATGGCAGGAAATATAAAATAAGAGCCTTGAAATCAATGGGCCAGACACTTTAAAAACTATATATTTAGGGGACAAGTTCAAGTTCCATAGCATTTACTTCTGTTAGGGCACATTTCCTCTGTATTATTTTTTAGGTTTTCCTTGAAAAATGTACTTGAATAAAGCAAATATCAGGCATACAGAGTAATTTAACACAGACTTAATGTAAGGGTATCAGGAAGTGCTGCAAGGCAACTTTCATAACCTAGCAGAAGTAAGTGTTGGTGAGAAGCTCTCTGAAATTGAGGTTGTGGATGCTGCTATTACAACAATTCTGTTAGTGGCTAACAGGCCCTTATAGTACATTTATCAAGTGTGAGCTTTATAGATGGCTAAATAGCCATAAGACTGTTGCCCAAACAGTGGTTTTGAATTTTTAATCTATCTGTTGTTTTCTTCAGAGCTCCTGTGTTGGTGGCCCTGGCTCTAATAGAGTGTGGGATGGAGTATGAAGATGCTGTGCACTTCATAAGACTGTGGGTATAAAGCACTGATACTAATGTTCTCCATTTCCTAATGTTTTTATGTACAATAAATGGTCTTCTGTTCATGTAATATATTGCAAACCTGTCACTCTTTATTGCCAAATATGTTCTTCTTTTGAGCACAATGTTAATTTTATGTTATCAGGAAGCGTCGTGGAGCATTCAACTCCAAGCAGCTGCTTTACCTGGAAAACTACAAACCTAAACTGTGTCTGCGCTCCAAAGATGCCAACGGACAGACCTGTTCTATTCAGTAGCCAGCTACAGCCCCATGTATCTTTACCGCAGCTTTTTATCTTTGATGTTAAATGGAGAGATAATATGTTTGGAGAAATTATTTTTCTCTAACCTTAAAGTCCTTTTTCAAATCTTCAAAACTCTGTATTTCCACAATTTCCCAAAACTTCGGTTAAAATCTTTAACCTCTGATTTTTTATTGAAAAAATAAATAAATGTATAGTTTTTCCTCTCCTGTGTCTTTACCCCACCTTAATTTGTGGCAATAATTCACAAATAATATATAATTATTATATCTAGGGATCCCATAATTAAACAATCCATAAGTTTGACTGAAATCAATCTTGTTTGGTGGAAAGTTTAAAACCATTATTCCAAAAGTTACTCTCTCAATCCACTTTTACAGGTGCAGCATATTAATGATGTTGATGTTTACAAGCTTTTGAGTTAACACTATGAAATTGGGATCACCAAAAATTCAATGTTTTCTTATAGTTGGCAAGTAATGTTGACATATGACAAGATCTTGTGATGTAAAACTGCAGCTTGATCTTTTTCCTAGCAAGAAAACTACAACTGCTGAATAAATTGCAGCTAGTTTGTGCTTTCAGAGGCTTGCTGGTTTATTGCACATCAATCCAAACAGTGGTTGTGACCTATATTCTGGTTATTACTGATCAGATTTGGTGTCCTGTAGCTAGAATGTAGCTCAGATAATCAATGACTCGAACGAGTTGGAAAATGTACAATATTTAAGACATTAGCTTACAAAAATGAAATGCTTCCAAAAAGTTATTAAATATTTTCAAGTTTAATGCAAATATGTCAAATGCTGTTTTTAACAACTCTGCGATCTACCAAGCATACCCCCTTATTAAAGCCGTAGTTACATGTTCAGCTTCTCAAAAACAAAGTTGTGCTGGCTATAAATATTTGACACGAGGGCCAACATGTTTAAATTCAGTATTTTAATGTACTGTATGTATAAATGCATTAGAAAACAGAGGTAATGGTGTAGGTTCTCCTGTTAGCTGTCAAATAAAATCATCAGTTGGAAAATATGTGGCCCAGTGCTCTATTTCTGCACTTCAGCATACGTAGTGCATAGTGCTAGTATGGAGCTACCTGGTATCAAATGGGCATATTTGCCCTAAATGAACAAAAGATCATTTGTTTAAGAAGGTAATTAAATAAGTTAAATTTACAAGGTAGTAGAAATTAGTTATTATCTACAGCCATGTACCCCGATTATCATCCCTGACCATTGTCATACTTAATTCTGGGAACATCTATTACTTTTTATATTCCCTGTGGAAAATTACTGTGGGGCCTAAATGGTTGCCAATGATATCCTAGTGGCCATATTTTGTCCATCTCTGGCTCTTTATTCATCTAGCTAGCTGCTTAGCTGCTGTGTTTGTCAGATGTTGGAGGTCTTTGTGTTATTCGTTTTCTATAGATTTTATTCTCATTGCCTGTACCTTTGTCAATATGTACTTATTTATTTAATGATTCCATTGTTTTTGTGAAATGTCTGTCTGCTTGAACAAATCTGTCTGCTGTGATAATTAAAGTATTTCGTTCTCTAGTTGCGGCTTGCTGCAATTCTACTTTGTTTGATATGATATGTTGTTGTATTTGTAAGAGGCTTTTAAGCTCAGTGGTTAGACCTTGTGCAGAGGCTATACTGTAGTCCTCACGGCTATCCTCGGTGCAAGTCCAACCTTTAAAGATGTTGCATATCTTCCTTTACTTTGTTCTCCAAATATTTTATATCACTGTCTTCTGCCCTATCTATAAAGGTATAAAATAGTCCCCCCAAAAATGTCAAGCATATTTGCACACAATTATTTAAATTCTGGAATAATTCCAAGTTGAGTCAGGGCCAGGCTGCATGCATAACAGTTCCAGATCACATTGACAATACTTCTTGTTAAAGTGCTATAACATGGCACCTTTCCAAAATGATGATGAGTCTGAGCTGACCTTGGTGAACTCTGTTAGTGTATGTGCCTCTGGCTGTGGTGGTACTGCGCATATGTGGCCATCCTGGTAGGCTGGCAGCATTGCGTGTATCAAATGGATATGATTCAAGGTTGATTGGTTTATTGACTGAACCATAAACCACAGAAGCACATGAACTAACCTTGAACAACCACATGAACACAAACTGACTCAATTCTGACTCCAAGTACCTCAAAAACTGGGTGTTAGGTACTGTATAGAGGAAAATTGGAAACTGTAACTTCTAGTAACTTGTCAGAAGGTGTTTTTGTGTTCAAATGTTTTGTGTGGCAAGTTTACTCATTCACTGTGGGCAGGAGATGGGGATAATTATCTGCCAAATAGAGAGCTCTTTAACCACTGACTTTATTGGTTAAAAATATTTATTACAAATGGAATTATTCAAAAAAGAGGATTTTCTGGCACAAACTTCACCAACTGACAAGGTGCATGAAGAGTGAAAGGCTTAGAAGAGGTCAACAATGCTCCAGCAACACTTGTAGTAAGATCAACTTTATTAACAATTTAGACCGACACGTTTCAGGTCGTGGCCTTCATCAGGGTCATGGATTTTGCAAATGGAATTATGCAAAAATATGTATTTAAAACACATGGACCAGAGTTTGTCAAACATAATGAAGCAGACACAGTTCAAAGTTTTCTAGATATTACGAATTAAGGCTTGAATGTTTATTGAACAAAATCCTACAGCATGGTATGCCATAGTACGTACCATGGTAAACTATGGGGTTTACCATGGGGTAAGGGGTCATTGAGTCTACGCTTCCCCAACCTAACCCTACCCTTACCCTAAATCCAAATTCACACATCCACAACTGGATCACCAATCATGAAATGGATTCTGAATATGGAAGTACATCTTGACTCATGAAGTGGATCATGGATCTGGAAGTGGATTGTGAAGATGGGTGTGGATCACCAATCATGAACTGGATTCTGAATGTGGAAGTAGATCACCAATTCTGAAGTGGATTGTGAATATGGAAGTAGATCATTAATCATGAAGTGGATGATGAAGATGGGTGTGGATCATTAATCATGAAGTGGATGATGAAGATGGGTGTGGATCATGAATCATGAAGTGGATGATGAAGATGGGTGTGGATCACAAATGGGGGGGGTTGACACTGGTGCTGCGGCGATGCTGCGCTCCTATCAAGTTATTCAACAATCAGAAATCACGGAAATCTCGAAATAGCTTCTTCAGGTACTTCCCGATGTCGTAGAGACTCGTAGGTAATACCATTGGAAAGCCTGTGGCCGCAAATGGGGCCACGTCTTGGTTTCGAGTCGAGACGACCTTCCTATCAAAAGTCATTCAACAATCAGACATAACCAGGTGGTTTTCATCCCTTATCCAATTGGAAAGAGTGTAGCCACATTTGCTGGGGTACAACCTACTGCTTCGTTGATGCTACGCTCCTATTAAAAATGACAAATTCACACATCCACATTTCACGTCTCAATTTAACATTTCACCCGCTTCCCGATGTCCTACACACTCAGGGATGGTATTGTTGGAAAGCTTGTAGGCACAAATGGGATAGTGAGACTTAATTTCGATACGACCTTCTCATCAAAATATGTTCAAATTTCAAACTTGAGCAGGGTATCACTCGGGCTATCATCCCTGTTCCCTAACCCTGGACTATTTCCAACTCCATTTTTCATTAACGGTAAAATATTCTGAACAACTGGACAATAATCTGACCATTACTGAAGCAAACTGCATTTTAATATCACCCTGTTGATACTGCACTTTGTATACCTTCCTCATTGTCCTCACCATTTCTTATACTTATTGCTTTATATAATTTTTTTATTTATATTCCTTATCTGATTATTTCTACTTCTATATCATGTATAAGGGCAACTGTAATGACCAAATTTCCTCCTGGACTTAATCAATCATTTCTGTTACAAGAGTTGGATATTTACGATACCATACCATACACTTTATTCTCCCCTTGGGGAAATTTGTCTTGGACTTAAAGTGCTGCCAAACATTCAGTTGTTTCCACTTGAATCAAATAAATAAAAACAACAGAAAAAAACCACATCCACTCAAACAAAAAGGCACATACCAATGCAGAACCACACAACATATATTGCACATCACCCATATTGCATGCTTTGAGTTAGATTGAGAGATAAAGTAACAGAGGTCAGAAAAATATTAAAAAGCATACAGGATCACCATGATGCCACCCACACAGCCTTTTGAAAATGTCGTGTGTGAATGATGACGATGAGTCATCATTAAACATCTGGCTTTAATTCATCACCTGACTGTCCGAGTCCCCTCCTGATGTACGACCCCTGGGTCAAAGTTTACCATCAGGTTTGTTTTTATGAATCACAAACTTTGGACTGGAAATGGTGTACACCAGATATCACTTCAGTATGCGGAAACATAGTCGCAGCTTCTGACATAATCACGGGCACTCCGCTCCTGTAATAGTCTGCCTCCACCTAGTGGTGAAACATGTCCATTTCTCAAACCGCGTCCACCCCCCCCAATAAAACCTCCAACACAGAGTTCTATTTTATTACAAAAAGAGAGTCTGCACCATTTGACAACAACACTACACTGTTGAATTATTAATAATAATGTATTTATTATACATAGATATAATTATATATAACGCAGAACTTATTGGATCATAACTGTAACTGCAGACAAAACTAAAGATTCTGTATCCACATAGATGATTTCCTCCAACTAAAGGAGGAAGAGGAGCAGGAGGAGGAAGAGGAGGAGGTGAAGAGTGGGGAGGAGGAGGAAGAGGAGGAGGTGCAGAGTGGGGAGGAGAGGAGGGGGACATCACACAGAGCTTTCACTCAGCATGCTGCTCCTGCTGTGGACCTGCTTCCAACGGAGAACCTGATTGGACAAACCGTCCATCTCTGCGGCGTGAGCCAGTAACTGGGCGATGGAGGAGTTCTGTAACAGAAAATAATTTAACAGTAAAAATAAGGCAGAGGGGGGGGCAGATACAGTTTATACAGTGAAGGGGGGTGGGCGATACAGTGTTTTTTATTAATGTGCAAATCTCACTGCTCTGGAATGATGGCAGACTGTCAGGAGGCGGGTACCAAGCGCACTCAAAGGACTGTGACATCATTAACATGAGCGGTGCATTAAGTCCACCAGGAGGCAACTATTTGTTTTCATCGATTGATGTCAGGTTAGGATCATGTTTCAGAGTATATGACAGATGGAAGTCAGGTTAGGATCATGTTTCAGAGTATATGACAGATGGACGTCGGGTTAGGATGAACGGTGTGACTGTGATATCATATTCACCTTTTCATTACTCTGTAAATGTTTTTAACCATCTCAATGTTTGAGTTTCACAGGAAAAGGGAGACCTCTGCTGGACATGTCAGGGAACTGATCTGTTAACCCTTTACTATCTAAAAGCTTTTAATGTATGATGTTTGTTTATGACACGCATGCACGCAAGCACGCATGATGTCATGTTACTGACCAGCTGATCCAGGTGGTCTCTGGCGGTTGGACTGGAGCTGACCGAATTCAGTTTCTCCTCCAGCGTGTTAACGAAGTCCAGCAGCATCGACACCAAGTCCACGACAAACCTGCACACACAGACCATCAGAGACCACCACACACTGGTTCACATCTTGGACAGGTGCTGGATTAGGACATACCATATCCAGCACACTGAAGTTTGGATCTCAATCAGTTTAAAGAAACACCACCCTAGACCATGTGATATGACTGACCCTAAGTAGAATTTGTTTTTTGTTAGATACCTGTGCAGGTGAGCCTGGACAGGCAGGTTGGTGCGAGCCAGCGGCCTCATCAGTCTCTGTCTTAGACTGTTCTGGTCCTTCAGAACGTCCTGCAGGTGACCACAGAATACCTGCAACATGTGGAACCTGCGAGCTGCAGGACAGAAGAGAACACAGAGTCTTGAAGGTTCAGATCTTTGTTCTGACTGATTCATGTTAACGTCTTCATCGTAAATGTCACATTATGATTAAACTTTTACTTTATACATAATTAACCTTTAACGTGTTGTCTCTGATGCTATTCAAACACAGCATTGATGTTTCACGAATCCTCACATTCGGGGGGCGTTATGGTTACCACCTCATGGTAACGTGAACCCCCCCCGGTAAAGTTTTTTATTTGATGTTTTGTTCGATAAAAATGTTATCTGCAGGTTTGACTGTTCCGGTATGACCTTTAACACTCACTCAGGTGGAAGCTATGTGTCACGTCAGCACTCCTCTTCTCCGTCTGCAGAAGCTCCGCCTCGAGCCGCAGCTGAAACAGGACACATGTTTAGGTCAGACTTAGTTTTCATCATCCTGGTAATAAATTGCAAAGTTTAATGAAGCACTCCGCTCAACTGTCTGAGTGTGACATCAGCAGCTCCACGCCATAGCGAGTGACGTCATTCTTGCACGAGACAACCAACACTTTAAATGATCGATTCAATGTTGTAGCACAGAAAAAGAAAAACGTCTTTTCTTTTACCTCATCCAACTGTCTCTGTATTCTGATTCGCTGTTCAGCCTCATGCAGGTTGGAAGAGAAGGTGGGGCTTAGCTGTGTGGAGGCAGAGTCTATCTCCTCCTGAGGACAGGAAAAAAAAAAGGGAATGATCACTGGGGGTGGCAGGGAGAGGGGTAAAAAAAAGAGGTAAGACGTGATGTAAAAAAGTATATATTAACAAAAGAGAACAACATACTAGAGAACAGGAAACATAATGCAGCAGGTTCATTCGAGTACAAGATCGTAGAGGTTGTGTGCAGACACTTTATGTAGTCACTGTTTATAAACTTCATTCTCTTCCTATTGGCTCCAGGTGAATTCTCCTGATTATATCCTGCTGTGTTCTCACATCAGCTCACTCTGATTTTCTGTAGAATAAATATGAGTAGGCTTGAGGAGAAACATTGTCTGTTTGTGTTCACATATAGCCTAAAGACCCTCCGGGTAGACTAATCTCCAGAGTTTTTCATGAGATTTCTGTATGTGTGAAAAGGGTTAGAGAGAGCAGAATCACATCAGCTTCAGAAAGAGATAGAAAAGGTCCACTTTCCATAAACCCCTCTCCTAAATGCACAGGTTGAGGTGCCTTGCTCATATCAAAACTTAAGCTTAAGCTTCTCATGGCTTCGTGTAAATAAGCTGCTTGCTTCAGATGCTGGACTCTTATAAATATCAGAATATCAGGGGGAACTTTTCAAAACACGAGGCGTAGTCGTTTGCGTCTGTGCGCCTGCATGGATAAGGTGAGCACATTAAAGTTGCTTTTTGCAAAAACAAAAACAATCAAAAACACATTTGATACAAAAACAAAACCGATATTAAAATATATTCTATGGTAAGAGTGAAAAGATAAATTATGTAATTCCCCCCTTAGCTGCGAACTCCCCCACCCAGCTATTCTACTGGAAACACTGAAGGAAACAGCTAGCAGGAAGGGGTAAACTAAATGATACATTTAGAAAATGTGAGAAGAGGTCAATGGCAAGGCAAAGAGTCAGCCCAAATGAAACATTCAAAAAATGTGAAAAAGGGTTCTTACAAAGCCCCTCACTGAGCTCCATGCACAGTTTCTAACAGAGGTAGACCAGAGGAAGGACGTTTTATATCAGATTGTCCAGCTGTTAGCTAACAAACTCGCCCAGAGAGGGCTGTTGAGGACAAATAGCATCACAGAGTTAGTGAGTCTGATAATGTGTGACACAAAGAATAAAGCCTGCATGGACCGTGTATGTCTAAAGTGCTGCTTCGATGAAGGAACATTACCTAAGACAGTTTTGAGGTTTCTTGGGAACAATGGGAGCGAGTTACTTCAACAAATGGAGAGAAAACCTTTTCAAATGTTTTAAAGCAAACATAGACAGGGACAATGCAGGGCTTAATACAACTCTTTCAGAAAAAGACAGAACTTAGCCATACACCAGTTCAGCTGGATCCACCAGGCAGAACAGTTCTGATACTTCAAACATAAAAAGCTGAAGCTGCTTTTCACGTAGATTTTTCAGAGAACTGTGTGTGTAAGATGAGTACTAAAATTCAAGCGTTTCCTTTTGGAGGCAGCCGGAAGCAGGCAACATGTAACTGAGAACATGTAATAAAAATATGTAAAGCATTTTTAAAAAATGAATTAAATTCAGGATAAATCATGGTCACACCACATGACATTTTCTATGGCCAGGGTGACTTCATCTAGATGAAAAAAAACAAATTAATTCATTTAAAAAAAATAATAATTCATGTGTATACAAGATTCCTAATGTTTCAAAAATTTAAAAAATATATATATTTTTTTTATTTTCAAATTGAAAATCCTTAAACGTCACTGACCCGTATACAGTATATGATGTATTTGTCTCTTCAAATATGTGCAAGTAAACTCACCTGAGATAAAGTTCCTCTAGAGACACACCTGGACAGCAGACCTGCAGCCGGGGTCACCGAGAACGGAGACAAATCCCTCTGAATCATCTGACAAAGACACGAGCTGCTGTCATCAATACATCCATCAGTTGATCATTTCATCATTGAATTTAACTTAAGTCAAAGTTTTCAGTGAAGCAGAGAGTCACAAAGAGACACCTGACAAAGTTATATTCATTTCAGGGTCATTTTAAAGTCTATTTCACATTGAGGTTTGGAGAAGTGCATTGTGGGTAAAAGTGAGGAATAATTAATCACGTTTTTTAATAAGTTTAAACAAACATCTAATTTATTGTTAAAACATGTTGATAATATAACTTTGATAACTCACTGTTGTATTAATGAATAATATGATTTAGTTTTCTGTGGCGTATCGAGTACTGACATTCAACTTAGATTAAACATTAAAAATGTATTGTTTGGTCCTTTTTCTACAAAAAAGTGCGACATTAATGTTGTCCTTTCTGTATTTTATTTATTTTTCTATTAAATTTATTTTATTATCATTGTTTTTCGTTTTGACCTCGTTCCCGTCATTGAATTCTTATGTTCTTAACATTTTGTAAATAAAGTTTAAAATGAGCATTGACAACAGTTTTCGGTAAAAACAAACATTAAGCGGAGTTTAACTAAAACTTCATGAAGCCGATTTAAAGTCTAGTATGTAAAGACCGTAAATCTTTATTTATGTCCTTCTCACAGCTCGGTGAGTCAGAACACGGATCGGGATTTACTTAAACCAGCACATTTTTATACAGGGTCTGGTCTCTGGAGGAGGAGGTTTAGATTCTTCTGTTGGCGGGTTAAAGATTTATGAAGTTTAATAAACCTCAGTGACCTCCAAACACTGCGAGTTTGTGTTCTTACCGTCAACTCAACGACGTCTCCAACTTAACAACAACAAATCCAAATTCACCCGCCGAATAACTTCCTCTTCTTCTTCCTGCTCCTCCTCTTCTTCCTCTTCTTCTTCTTCTTTGTTGGGTTTCCATGGCAGCTGTTTTTACTGCCACCTGCTGGATGTCTGGACTTTTTACACGCTGAGGTTCCTCTCAGTCGATCGTTAAACTTTTATTCTGTTAAAAACGTTTTACAAATAATGAACACATACTTTTAGAGAAAAGATGTTCTTCTAATTCTTCTTCTTTAAAGGGTAGCAGCAGCTTCAGTGTTGGATCACTGAAGCTGCTGGTGAAAGAAGCTCCTACAGTTTCTATTAAGAAAAAAAAAAACTTTGGATCGAATTCAGAGATAGAAAAATACATATATATATATAAACACACATCATAAATAACGTATCTTTTATATAAAAGTGTGTTTATGTAAGTATTTCAATCCTTGGTGTTCAAAGTACTTACATCACGTTCATTTACTCGTTTAAGTCAGTCCAAATTTAAAGTACTTCTTTATTTGAGTCATTTTATTTTTACTTCATGTAATAATACATCACGTACACATAATAAACAGGTTAATCTCTAGTTTATAAAGGCTGCAGATTTGACTGATTAACACATTCATACATCAATAAATATAATAAGTAGATTCATTAATATGTTAGTAATATAATGTATTATCTAATATGATACATTTATTTTTACAATGAATATAATATAATAGTGTTAATATATTTATGATATAAATATAGACTAAAGCTTCTTAGAGAGTCAGAGGAGTTTATTATTATACAACTCTTAAGATGCCAACCACCTTAAACAACCAACGAAGAAGAAGGAGATGACCCATAAACAGAAGAAGAGTGTGTATTATTATAGTATTGTTGATGTGTTGCTTTAAGAGGTTGTGGTACAGCTGTTTTTGTAGTCTGTCTCCTGTCTCCTGCCCAGGGACTACAGATGTACATTAGCGTGTAGCTAACTCTAGTACAGGTAATAGGCTGTACACTGTCCCTGTTAAATAAACAAATAAATAAATAAAAGGGAAACATGTGTTATGTCCTGCAGTAGACTGTAAAACGCCTTGTAGCGTCTAAACTTACTGAGAACAAGAAGAAGCAGTGCGCATGCCCATAAAAGTCACTTGTCTCGGCTTCTCCCATTGGCTGGCAGAGCTATGCGCTCAGGGCGTGCACTCTGTTTATCAGACAAATGTTCAGCATCCTGACAAAAAGCGACGTTTATAAAGTGCAGAGTTCGCTGTGATGTGAGTAAAACCGGCCGGTATCTGTTCGGTGTTTGTCCGGTAAACCTAGCTCTGTGTGCAGGATAACCGAATAATGTGGAAACGTAATGTTATACTGTTAGCATCTGTTAGCTTCTCTGTTAGCTTTGTTACGTTTAATAACTCCAATGTGTTTGAATTGTGTTTCTAGTTTATAAACGATCTAATGTGGCTAACGCTAGCTTCTGAAGCCTGTTGTTTGATGACTCTGCTCTGCAGGGATTACACCGCCTGATCTTATTAACACAACAGAAGAAGAAAACAGCTGATCTTATTAACACCACAGAAGAAGAAAACAGCTGATCTTATTAACACCACAGAAGAAGAAAACAGCTGATCTTATTAACGCCACAGAAGAAGGGGACAGCTGCGCTTATTAACACCACAGAAGAAGAGGACAGCTGATCTTATTGACACCAAAGAAGAAGAAGAGGACAGTCCTAGAACCACTTCCTGTCTGATGTGAATCTTTACTAATGGTCCTGCTGTAATCTGACAGGTAGACAGACAGCTAAAAAGACAGGTAAACAACAGGTAAACTGTCAGGATGGACTGGTAGACTGTCAGGTAGGCTAACAGGTATGCATTTGGTTACAGGTTGAGATGGGGAACAGTGCTCTGAAGTCTCACCTGGAAACGTCCCAGAAGACTGGGGTTTTCCAGCTGACATCGAAGGGGCTGCAGGAGGTGAGACTCACCTGTGCACTCTATTGCAGTTCTCACATGATCACTTCCTGTACTATCTGTAACATTGTAGTTTCTACATGATCACTTCCTGTGTGATAACTGTGCTGTATGTGACGTTGTAGTTTCTATATAATCGCTTGTAGTTTCCGGAGGAGCTACAGAGACTCACAGGGAACCTGCGGATGGTGGATCTATCTGGAAATAAGATTGAGGTTCTTCCAGCCACCATCGGAAACTTCCTGCAGCTGAAGAGTCTGACCCTGAACTCGAACAGACTAAGTGAGTCAGAAGAGCTGACACTAACTAACTACAGGTGACTCTAACTAACTACAGCTGACTCTAACTAACTACAGCTGACTCTAACTAACTACAGCTGACTCTAACTAACTACAGCTGACTCTAACTAACTACAGCTGACTAACTAACTATCTACAGCTGACTCTAACTAACTACAGCTGACTCTAACTAACTACAGCTGACTAACTAACTATCTACAGCTGACTAACTAACTACAACTGACTCTAACTAACTACAGCTGACTCTAACTAACTACAGCTGACTCTAACTAACTACAGGTGACTCTAACTAACTACAGCTGACTAACTAACTAACTACAGCTGACTAACTAACTATCTACAGCTGACTCTAACTAACTACAGCTGACTCTAACTAACTACAGCTGACTAACTAACTATCTACAGCTGACTAACTAACTATCTACAGCTGACTAACTAACTATCTACAGCTGACTCTAACTAACTACAGCTGACTCTAACTAACTACAGGTGACTCTAACTAACTACAGCTGACTAACTATCTACAGCTGACTAACTAACTAACTACAGCTGACTAACTAACTACAGCTGACTCTAACTAACTACAGCTGACTCTAACTAACTACAGCTGACTCTAACTAACTACAGCTGACTCTAACTAACTACAGCTGACTAACTAACTATCTACAGCTGACTCTAACTAACTACAGCTGACTCTAACTAACTACAGCTGACTAACTAACTAACTACAGCTGACTCTAACTATCTACAGCTGACTCTAACTAACTACAGCTGACTCTAACTAACTACAACTGACTCTAACTATCTACAGCTGACTCTAACTATCTACAGCTGACTCTAACTAACTACAGCTGACTAACTATCTACAACTGACTCTAACTATCTACAACTGACTCTAACTATCTACAGCTGACTCTAACTATCTACAACTGACTCTAACTATCTACAGCTGACTCTAACTATCTACAGCTGACTCTAACTAACTACAACTGACTCTAACTATCTACAGCTGACTCTAACTAACTACAGCTGACTAACTAACTACAGCTGACTAACTAACTAGAGCTGACTAACTAACTACAGCTGACTCTAACTAACTACAGCTGACTCTAACTATCTACAACTGACTCTAACTAACTACAGCTGACTCTAACTATCTACAGCTGACTCTAACTAACTACAGCTGACTCTAACTATCTACAACTGACTCTAACTATCTACAGCTGACTCTAACTAACTACAGCTGACTAACTAACTACAGCTGACTAACTAACTACAGCTGACTCTAACTAACTACAGCTGACTCTAACTAACTACAGCTGACTAACTAACTACAGCTGACTAACTAACTACAGCTGACTCTAACTAACCCTAGCGCCTGACTATTTTAGATCTTTTTTTTTTCAGGCACACGCTCGCGACCCACTTAAAACAGCTATGCAACCCACTTTTGTGTCCCCACCCAACAGTTGAGAACCACTGCTCTAGAGCTCATCCCGAAGCCTGTAGTCCTGCAGCCTCTAGAGTTCACTTCCCTGACCCTAACCCCTCTCTTGATGTTTTGTGTCCTCAGCCAGCATCCCCGCTGAGATCTCTAAGCTGAAGAAGCTGGAGACTCTGATCCTGAATGGGAACCGGATTCAGCAATTTCCCCCCACCCTGGGCCAGCTCAAAGCTCTGCGGACCCTTAGCCTTTCAGGGAACCAAATCTCACAGTTTCCCTCTGGACTTGGAACCCTGAGGCAGCTGGACCTGTTGGACCTGTCCCGCAACCATATTCAGAACATCCCTTCAGAGGTGTCAGAGCTGCAGGCCATTGAGATAAACCTCAACCAGAATCAGGTACCTGAGTCCCTTCAGAGGACTGAGAAACACCACGTACAGTAAGAATCTGAGCCTGAGTTACTCCTGGAGGACATTTAACCCTAACCCTAACATGCTTTATCACCCTCTTCCAGATCTCTGTGCTGCCTGCAGAAGTGTCCCGATGCCCCCGTCTGAAGGTCCTTCGTCTGGAGGAGAACTGTCTGGAGCTGTCCTCCATCCCTGGGTCCATCCTGAAGGACTCCCAGGTGTCTCTGTTGTCAGTGGAGGGAAATCTGTTCGAGGTGAAGCAGCTCAGAGATCTGGAGGGCTACGAACAGGTCAGACCTCATCCTGTCTCACAGAGACTGATAATTAGAGGATACTAAATAGATAAAGCGAAGTATCCTTGCCCCCAAATCGATCGATTCAATATTATGGGAAAGTCCTCCTCATCCTGCCTGTGTTCTTGATCACAGTATTTCAAATGAGTTAGGGTTAGGGTTAGCTAGGAGTTTTAGCTCGCTTTCAGCTCGAGTTTTAGCAGCCGTTACTGGTTGTGGCTGTAGATGCATTCATGTTGGTTTCGAACACACGTAAAAACGTCTTTCTGAGTTGGAAAATACAAAACGTGCTCAGTTCAGAACAACACTTTCACACCACCCACTACCAAACAAACTATCAGACAAAGCGCACCAGAGTTAGTTTCAAACAGACCAAAGAGCTTAATTGTGAAAGCACCCATTCCCCTGCTGGCCGGCACGGCCCACGGTCGCACTGCTCCAGGACTAACCGGGCCTAAGCGTGGTTACCTCTTGTACACAACGTCATAATACAGCACATGCAAGGCTTTATGTTATTATGAAGAGTGCTCAGTTTACAAACAGACGGACTCGAGAGGAAAAAAAAAAAAAGGGATGCTCTGTCGAGTCTGCGTGTGCACATCAGAGAACATGACAGCTACTTCACTGACTTTGTGTCTTATTCTGATTCATGTTAGTCAGATACAGACTGAACACTCCATTATGATTTCTCCATAATGAAGGCTTTGCACATTTAGTACCTGCGTGTTTGTGCTCGTGTCTGAACTGTACCGTGCCGAAGCACACCTTTCCGAAGCGTCCCAGGGCCGAGGAAGTGGACTGGGCCTGAGCACGGTACAGAGCGGTCACACTGGTCAAACGAGCTGACCTTTAGGGGTGGAGCGTGCTTGGGCACGGTACAGAATGCCAGTGTGACTGCGCCCTAAGTGACTTTGTCGTTAAAGCGTTGTCCTCAGGTTGTTATTAAAATCATTCTGTGTGCCCTTGGCTGATATTCTTGTTGCCATGGTAATAAACATGTATTGATCTTGTTAAATGTTTACCTCATATTTAAGGAGTTTGAAATTCTGGTTTTGTAAAATCCCTTTATTCTGAAACATTTGAGTGCAAATCCTGAAGGAAACAATTTTTACTCAACTGAACTGTACCCTCAGCTCCACTTCAAATATTCAAAATTAATGATATGGATCCACTCGTGAGGTCCACCTGAAGGTCTCTAATGGACTCTTCTGGTCTTTTTGGTCTATAATGGTCTCTGATGGTCTCTATTGGTCCCTATTAGTCTCTGATGTTCTTTGATGGTCTCCATTGGTTTCCTATGGTCTGTTCTTTCTGCTTTCAGTATATGGAGCGTTACACGGCCACCAAGAAGAAGTTTACCTGATGACTGCAGCGAGTCTGAACCTGAAAGCGGCACACAGTGGCGGAGTCAGTTGAGACTCTGCCCATGCTGATGTTTCTTCTTCTGACGTCACTCAGCCAGGACAACAAACCCCGCCTCCTGCAACCACCATCCCTAAGATCTCCTGACCCCTGTGACTTCAGAGAGAGAGAGAGAGAGAGAGAGATGCAGACTTTTGTTCCCATGGAAACAGATGGAACAAGGAATAAGAAGGATTTACCACAGAAGAGGAAGAGTTTGTCCAGCAGAAAGATCAGACAGAAACTTTGACATAATGTTTGTGTTCTTAAATTATTTTCTGTAACATTTAATCTCATTTAAAACAATTAAAACTCTTCAGTCTTCAGTCTTTAACGTACAATAACAGAAATCTGTGTTGATGTGATTTGCAGTTTAGTTTGATATAATTCACTTCCTCTTTATTACCTTCACCATCATCATCATGTCCTACTCTGTAAAAAACTAAACTTTGTTGTCGATTTGAATGTGAATATTACTGACCTCTGATGGAAACAAATTACTTTTTGAAAATATAACACTAAACTAACAAATTAGGAATTAATAATCCTAACCTACAGTTTTGAAGATTGTTTCATCACAGGTTATAAAACAATAATGATCAACTTTTACATGATTATCAATGATCTGTATAATCTTGATTCTTTGTTGTGGTGTCATCATTGTTTTACATGAGATCTGACACACCACCAGATGGCGGTCATACACAATATACGACTCTCTCTCTCTCTCTCACACACACTCACACACACACACACTCTGAGAGTAAATCCAATAAAGGTATAGTCATAGAATTAAAGCTATGATTATATTTTATTTTTCTAAAACGGTTGGTGACAGTGTAGAAATAATTTAGCAAACATTACGGTTCAGTTACTCCGAATACTACGGTATAGTTAAGGTTCAGTTACTCCAAACTTTAGGGTTTGAATTTAGAGTTATATAAGAAGAATCAAATATTTTAAATCCTAAAAATGATTTATGTAATGTATTATGTACAGTGGAGGAAATAATTATTTGATCTCCTGCTGATTTTGTAAGTTTGCCCGATTTCAAAGAAGTGAGAGGTCTATAATTTTTAAGGTAATTTTATTTTAACAGAGACAGAATATATTTTTTAAAAGTCCGGAAAAAAAACCACTGAGCCACTCCTTTGCTGCCTTGGCCGTATGTTTCGGGTTGTTGTCATGCTGGAAGACCCATCCAAGACCCATCCTCAGTGCTCTGGCTGAGGAAAGGAGGTTCTTGTTCAAGATACTTGTCCCCATCCATCGGCCCATCAATGCGGTGAAGTTGTCCTGTACCCTTAGCAGAGAAACAGCCCCAAAGCATAATGTTTATACCTCATATGCTTGACGGTGGGGACGGTGTTCTTGGGTTGGAATTTAGCATTTCTCTCCCTCCAAACACAACAACTTTGAGTTTATGCCAAAGAGTTGAATTTGGTCTCATCTGACCACATCACCTTCTCCCAAGCCATCTCTGAATCATTTAGGACCTAAATGATTCAGAGATGGCTTGGCACCTAAATTTTAGGTGTTCATTGGCAAACTTCAGACGGGCCTGTACATGTACCTTCTTGAGCAGGGGGACATTGCGGGCACTGAAGGATTTAAATCCATTACAGCACAGTGTTACCAATGGTTTTCTTGGTGACTGTGGTACTAGCTGCCTTGAGATCATTACAAAGCTCCTCCCGTGTAGTTCTGGGCTGATCACTCACCCTTCTCATGATCATCCTTACCCTACAAGGCGAGATCTTGCATGGAGCTCCAGACAGAGGGCGATTGATGGTTATTTTATATTTCTTCCATTTTCCTATAATTGCACCAACAATTTTCTCCTTCTCACCAAGCTTCTTGCTGATGGTCTTGTAGCCCAGTCCAGCCTTGTGCAGGTCTACAATCCTGTCCCTGATGTCCTTTGAAAGTTTTTTGGTCTTGCCCATGGTGGTGGATTGGTTGGAAGGGAAGAGATTGATTCTGTTGACATGTGTCTTTTTTACCCATAACGAGCAGTGATTGGAAGTACTCTCTTAAAGTGTCAGGACCAATCTGAGTGCCTCCCGGGCACATAACTGGTCTGTGGGAGCCAGAATTCGTGCTGGTTTGTAGAGGATCAAATACTTATTTCCTTCAATAAAATGCAAATTAATTTATAACTTTATACAAGGTTTTTTTCTGGACTTTTTTTTTTTGATATTCTGTCTCTGTTTGTTAAAATAAAGGTACCATAAAAAATATAGACCGGTCACTTCTTTGTAATTGGTCAAACTTACAAAATCAGCAGGGGATCAAATAATTATTTCCTCCACTGTAACTGAATATACTATGCTAATATTTAAGTTCTGATACACACTTTTTAATGAATTACTTTAATACAATTAACACAATTTAAACAACATATATGCCGGCGCTTTTATTGTGAAGCCTCTTCCGCTGTGTGTGTGTGTGTGTGTGTGTGTGTGTGTGTGTGTGTGTGTGTGTGTGTGTGTGTGTGTGTGTGTGTGTGTGTGTGTGTGTGCGTGCGTGTGCGTGTGCGTGCGCGGAGGGGGGGGGGGACTTGTTCAGAGGAATCTGCGGAGCGATGGGTGAAGTGTTTACGGTGTGAGAAACAAACTTTCTGCGTGTTTCTGCTTCGAGAATAAACTCAGAACTTTGATTCATCTTCTCCTTAGTTTACTCAGAGTCCAGTCGCTCCACCAAACCAAACATCTGCGGAGTTTCTCGCGTTGTAAGCTCCAGTTAGGAGACTGTTTGTGAAGCTGAAAATGAGACTTCAGTGAGGGGGTTGGGGACCGAGCCGAGCCGAGCTCCCCCTGTGAAAGTCACCGAGGGGTTGGATCCTCGGACAGAAAGAATGAGAGCATGAAGCGGATTCTGTGGATTGTCGTGTTTTTCCTGCAGAACTTTGAAGGAGGCTGTGAGAGCGGTGAGTTTCTGCGATGAATCCGAGTTTTGTGTCTGTTCTTCGGTCACTTTTATTGACATTAACCTCTCTCCCTATGTGGGACACATCGTCAAGTGAACATGACTTCATGCTAAAGTTAAAAAAGTTCTGCCATAAACCTGAAATAAATCCTGAACGATCCCGTCCACTTTCCGGCTCACAGCAGAGTGTTGTTGAGGGCTACTCACTCCGAGGCTGCTGGGAGCAGATTAAATATGTACATTAAAGGCTCTGTCAATTACAATTTACTGAAATGATGCCAGAATCACCCACAGACTAGTGTGACGTGACGAAGTCCTGAACGGTGTCTCCTCCGAGTTCCAAAAGTCTAAAAACAGCGAGTTTCTGAATTCTTGTCCTTTTCTAAATGAGTTTGGTTCAGAGCGGCTCACTGAAGTTTAGCAGCTCCGACTGGGCAAAGTGCAGAGTTACACATGATCCCAACTGGTATGCAGGTAAAGATTTTACCTTCAAATCCACGAGCTGCTTTGGTGACACTCTCAGTTAATATAAAAGGTCATAAATATATTGGTAGAGATGTGTACAATAATTAGGCTACATTATTATATAGTTATTAGTGAATTTAATCATCTAACAGACTACCTCGATTATTAATTCAACTCTTTTTATTCTTTGATCTTTTTAATAATCTTTAAAGAAAATAGACATTTAATTTATATTTAAAAAAATTATTCACGTGAAAAGTTGTTTTTAATCAACAGTGTTAAGGAGTTTGAGTTTAATGAGGTCACCTTCATAAGAGGTCAGGGTTCACATGTCATTAGAGGACCTGCAGACAGGAGGTCGGAGGTCAGACGGTTCAGCAGCATGTTGATATTTGGGGAGAAAAGTTAGAAAAATACAAATTCTTTGTATCATATGATTAATCAACACTTTTAACAGCTGTTTAAATGCATTATGGGTAATGTAGTCTGCAGCTTTGAATAAGGTAGAGGACGGGAAAAGGAATGTCTGAACCCACTCCTCACTTAATATTCAGCACTCATTGTATCCCACAATGCATTGTGAAAAGTGCAACCAATGGTCATAAGCCCATCAATAGTTCCCATTATGCATCATGTTAGCCTGCTGTCAGAAGGAGAAAGGTGCGAGCAACATGAACACAGAAACCCTTCAATGTGTTTGAATAAACGTGTTTCAAGAGACTGTGTTTCTTTCATTCAGTAATAATAATTATTATCATTTTGTGATAATCACTCAGTGTAATATTAGTTATCACTGAAACTCTCGCCCTGATTTAGTCAAAATCCCTGGCCGACGCTAAGCTGCAGCTTTTAGCCACAGAGAGGACATCATCGGAGTCCAGCGAGGACGAGCAGTCTGAAATATTTATTACTTATTGTGTATCATATTTGTTCACATTCTGCATTTTGCATTTTTGCATCATTTATCAATAATGAATCAATAGATTTATCAATAACAATATGGATATTAGGATCTTTAAATCAAGGATATTATTCTCAACGCGTCTGACTCAGCTGGTCCTGGTCCTCAGGTTGTGATTCAGGAACAGTTAAAGTTTTTGCTCATCTGTCTGAGACACTTCCTTCTCCCTCCCTCTCCTGCCCCATCCTACTTTCTCCCTCTCCTCTCCTCTCCTCTCCTCCCCTTCCTCTTCCTCCCTCCCTCTCCTCCTCCTCCTTCTCTTGCAGGTGTGATCTTCACAAAGAATCCGTCCAATCAGACAGTGTCTCAGGGCAACGCTGCACGGCTAGGCTGTGCCGTTCTCGGTGTTACAGAGCCCGAAATCGTTTGGATGAAAGATGGAGAAAAACTTTACAGCACGGATCAGATGTTCATCACGCTGGGAGAGACGCACTGGGAGACCTTCTACAGGTACACGGATACACCTGTCGATACATCAATCAAAACATTGATCAATCAAAACATCAATCAATCAACACATCAACTAATCATCACATCATCAACACATCAATCAATCAAAACATCAATCAACACATCAATTAATCAACACATCAATCAATCAACACATCAATCAATCAAAACATTGATCAATCAAACATCAATCAATCAACACATCAACTAATCATCACATCATCAACACATCAATCAATCAAAACATCAATCAACACATCAACTAATCATCACATCATCAACACATCAATCAATCAAAACAT